ATTACCGATTTTCGGAAAACCTTAGAGCTACGGAGCTGAGGTAAAGGAGTATGAATGTGCTGATCATGAATGAACTTTGGATTTGGCTTTGGCAGGACATATGGTTTTTTTTAGATACTCGAGAAAGCACTTAAATATATATTCGAAAACCTCGACTTCCATTGTTCGAATATATTCGATATTTCATTCGACATTTTTGGCCGATTGTATCAGGGACTTGGTTTATTGTTTATTGATATACACACGGAGGTGCACCGACTAAAAAAAGAAAAAGAAACGAACGAGTGAACGTCGATAGTGGTCCCTTGCAGGATTCTTCAGGTCGTTTTCCTTCTTTAAAAGGTGAGTAAATCCCCCTGCCAAGATCCTTTTCCCTACCCAGACGCAGATGTTGACCGAATTTACCAGGGCTTGGCTGACCAACTTGACCCTAGGCGGACGAATCCGTCAGGGACCCTGGGCGAATGGGAGGGGGGACCTCAAGGTAGGGGACTCGCCGACCTTCAGAGCTCCTTAAACGGCAAGTTCATGCGAAGAGGCTGCTTTTGCGGTGAATTGCGGTTTTGCGGTTTTGCGGAAAATTCACAAGAAGATCGAAAGAAAAATGCAAAATAATATTGAAAATTTTCGAGTGCCAGTATCTGACTGGCAGATATAGAAAATGAAAGTAAACAAAGAAATGAACCATTCGAGTGTCCTCGAAGGCTCGAGAAGCTCTAGACGTCCGGGATTCCTAAAACTTCCAAAACATTGATGGAGGCTAATTTCCTGCGAAATTTAAAACTATTTGAAAAATTTTAAATTACCAAATCTCGATATTCGTTTATTTGCAATTTTTCATCTTTGAATCTATTCTACAGGGCTTATCAAACGCAGTGTTACTTGCATCAGCATCTCCATCCCGCGCTGGACTCTGCATCTCTTTTTCGAACATGTTCTCTGATCACTTTCCCAGGGCGAGCGTGGGAAAGGCTAAGTCTCAGTCGATTGGAAGTGATTAGAGAGCAGTTTGCGGAAGACACGCGGAGTCCAACGCAAGAGTGGAGATGCTGATGCAAGCGACTCTGCGTTTAATAAGCCTTGTATATTCATTCATTTGATAAAAACTTTGAAGTTCCCAAGTATATTACACAGAGTACTTACAAAGGAAGTATAACTGTGACCACGGTCTTTTGAAAATAGTTACAGGGTGGGGCTCAAGTCTGGGAGCCTAGTACTTTTTCACATAAAATCAGAAGGAAAGTGCCTAGGAACAATAAATTCGGTGCACACATAAATCGAACCTTTACGAATACAACGCTGCTCTCAAATTCTGACATTGCTTCTTCTGGCTTCAAAGCAGCCCCCTAAAATCTTGGCGAGTCCGCCCGTCGTGGCACGCAGACAGCCGTGATGAAATTCGTCCCGCGCCTTTACGATAACTGTTTCTTTCACCAGGCAAATGTGCGGCGTGATAGAGCAAATTTTTGGCTACAACGTACTGCGAAGAAATTTTTTACAGTGTTTAAGAAAAAAATTTTGGAATTTCAATTGAAGGCAAATGTACTCGTATACTGGAAATGTGGATTCGGTTGCGCGAAAGGGAGCGAAGAATCGTAATCTGAAAAGTATTGAAATTGCTTGATCGATCGAACTCAAATACGTGCTTGCATAGAAGACTCATGGAAAAATATAGCCTAGAATTCAGTGCCTGCTGTGATCTTATAGCTTTTAAATTTATTTTAAAGAAAAATGGCTATTGGCACGCCGGTAGTATTCGCATATTTTTATTTTGCGTTTTCGAAAAAATATTAGGTCGTTCCGAAAGTAATGCGCTTCTTTCAAACGTACGCCACATCTCGTGGAACTAAGATGTGTAAGAGATTCTGGTAGCATTCGATGCAGCATTTCATTCTCTTTCTAATGGTTATATAATGACCGCACAAGATTGAATAACCTCTGGGAAAATTATCGGAATCTGCGACCCATGCTTTTTGAGAAGGTCAAGTTTCACAATTTTTCCAAATTTTTATAACAACCCCCAGAAGGAGTCCAGGTTATGTATGGATAGACTACTTTTTTCTACTTTTTAGAGCTCGTCATAATTTCTGTATAGATTTTTTGATAGAACCACCGAATTTTAGCAGCCTCGTCTCAGAACAAATGCATCAAACACCAAGAAATCGTCGGATTTTGAAACTTACAAAAATGGATTGTGGTTTTACGCTAATTTTACAAAGCAAATGAGCGTTTACCGCTTCAGATTAGCAACTTTCGAAAGTTCCGTGTACAGCCGGAGGCGCCCTGGAAAACCTGAATTATGATGATTTTATCTCGGAAAACTTGATGAATCGGAAACCAAAAACAACTGGTAAAAAGAGGAGAAAAAGCTGCGTCGAATGACACCCGAATTGCTTGCTGGTTGTTGTTCTGTGAGGTTTGAGTTAACCAAATATGGAATTTGATGGCATTTTAAAATTGATTCCAGAAACTCTAAGAAGCAAGCTAAGGAAAAGAAAAAAATTATTCTGTGTCCTATGGGGTTTGCTCTATCTACCTGCCGCTTGCACTTTTTCGGAGATTAGGTACAAAAATTTAGAAAAATAGCCGAACTTGACCATGGCAAAAAGCATGAGTTGCAGATTTTGTTAATTTTTCGAAAGCTCAATGAAAATTATGCAATGAAATTAAACCATTAGAAAGAGGATGAAATGCTGCATCGAATGCTCCTACGATCTCTTGAAAATCTTGATTCCGTGAAATGTGGCGTTCATTTGAAAAAAGCGACATTACTTTCGGAACGACCTAATAGTATTTGACAAATGCAACAATTACGAATTGATAACCCATAGTCTCTTCTTCATCGTAGGCATCGAAGTGCTCCAGAATATCCACTGTATCCTTAGCTTCGAAAGAATTTGTGAAAACCAAAAATTTCGATTTTCTCGCTCTGCAGAGCACTTGTTTGATAAATCCAACTCCTACAAAGACATATGGTAAGCATTTTCAGCCAACCAAAGTGTGCTTTATCGAGGATGACCGCAGCAAAATGTAGCACAAATTTGGCAGCAAAATGTAGCACAAATTTGGAGTCAAAATCGTCAGTAGTTTCTTGATTCACAGCACTACAAAGTGGGCTCCCAGATTTTACCCCACCCTGTATATATCAGGACGCTCCTCTTAAAACGGTGATTTCGAATCCATTTTCGTCATTTGCATAACGGTATTCTGAAAAAAAAAAGCATTCGTAAAAGCGAACGCATAGGTCCGCATCGATAAAGATCAAAGCGGTGCCCAGCAGTTACCAACAGTGCTAACCGCCGAACTGACTTCAGCGCCAACCGCTGCGTAAATATTTTCACAGATTTCTAAGATTTGTAGTACTTTTTTCTCATATTGAGCACTATATATTGCTATTTACAATGTCACTTTGCCCCACTTCATAAGGGTACAACTCAGTGATCTTCCTAGAATGCAGTTGTAAACCACGAACAGCTATGACACGGAATTTTGCCGGAAACTCATCTGGATATTTCTGAAAACTCAGCTTCTTAGTTTATGTGGGATGTGCCACTGATTGCGCTGTTACAAGGGAACTAAAACCAAGTGACTGCGCATATATATTTATATATTGTTTATATCTGTATTGTTATATCAATCTTGTATTATATATAGGGTGGTCCACACGAATTGTGGACCGCCCCATATACAAAATTTTGCATAGCTTTGCTAAAACTCAATCAAAAGCTTTCGTTTCTATCTAACATGCAAGAAGCTCGTAAAGAACATTTAAAAAAAAATCCACCTTAGGCTTTTGTGAAGGAATTTATTCTGCTCGGAAAATTTTTCAATATACGCGCAATGGTTATTGGTGGAATTATGTCCCAGCTTCTTATTAGGTCTCCTTTTAGCCAATTTAGCACATTGACGACCGAGCCATCTTTGACCACATCAAAATGGACTGAATATCTGTATCTGCTGTTAAAACTCCTGAGCAGCTACCGCGGTACTTTGTGGCCTATGAGCATAACCACCAGTATTATTACTTCTAGGAGTCACCTTAGAACTTTTCACCTACATATGAAAAAATGATGCACGAGAGTGCTAAACGGGAGTCAGGGCATGCATACGCGCGTATGCACAGTCATCAACGTGCTAATGACTGGCTTTGGAAGAGGGGACTTTCTGCTCACAGATAGAATTAAAGTTCGTGGGTTTTGAGAATGTTTGAGTCGGTAGGCCAAACATTGTTTGTTCATACCCACATGAAGTTTGACGAGCAGCGAAAAATCTATTTTTGGTCTATTTCATTCCATATATTGATGATTGTCTTCTACACATTCTTTTGTCCCATTTGATTGTTCCCAACTTCGTTTTTAGTCGAATATGGTTAATCCTGATTTACTGCAGTCGCCGTGGCAACGAGAACCGATGTTTTTTTTCAAATTCTTCTGAAGGGGTGAAACTTTCTTGGGTCAAAGCAAACAATACGGATGTGGTGCAAATTCTAATCATGTAGACACTAATCCACAGCGAAAAAAGTTGTATGAAATCTATCATTTGAACATTGAAAAAAATGTTTGGCCTTATCTGCCCATCCTCAATCCCACAATTACCCTTTTCTGTCTGCTTGAAAAAAAGCCTGCCTTACAATGCTCATGTCATTTGATTTGCTAAAAAAAGGGTGCTGAGAGTTTGGGACCAAAAACCAGCGCGCGCAAGTCAAAAATTTCTCTTTTTCTCTATCAGATACGCGCAAAACCTTCCGATTTTATCCAGTCCTTGCAAAGTTATAATATTTTTTGTTGTGTCGTTCTTCCGGAACATACTGTATTCACTTCATCCTAACCTAATTTGCTTTTGTTCAAATAGTTCCAGATTTGCCACATTGACATGGTTGCCTAAGAAAACTTGGCAAGAATTAGTTTTGTGGGCTAAAAGTGCGCAACATCGGCGACTGATTGCATAAATGAAATAATCAGAAAGTCCTCTGAATCTCTAAAAGCTTCCTTTATCTGCAGGTTCATTGTGGGCTCTGTATGGGTATACTCGAAGTTCAGCTTTGTCAGCTACGACGATCCAGATGTGGAAGACTATTGTGACAAAACAACTTACTTGTTTGCATTCATCTACTTGACAGTCATCTATTCGCTTATAGGACTCGTATGCATTTGCTTGTGCTTTTGTTGTGGTTGTGTCCTTTATATTGTACGGTTTGTTAAAGCCGAGTTTCGTGAATAACCTATCATCATTTGTTTCATAGAAAAAACAAATGTCGGATCTCAACCGCTCAGCGTCATCTAGATGCTCCTGACGCGCCTCCAGCAATCTTTCGAGTTCGATTTGACTCAATGTTTTGAGTCGCGTTGATTAGTTATCACAATGCTAATCTCTTGCACATAAAGCGCATTATCTGTACGTTTGGAAATTTTTTTTTGTTCCTCAAAGAAAGCTCTCACATCTGAGTAAATTTGAATCAAACCTTACTTCGCCTTATTCACTTTGAAACAAAAGTGTGTCACCTTTGATTGTCTCGGTATTTAAACTTCACTGGTTTCTTGCCTTGGTATTTGAACATACCGATTACGAACTCAACATCAGCGATGGAAATTATAATCACTCTCAAGCAGAGCTAATTTTGTGGTCTTGTTGCGCCTGAACTTCGCAGCTCCTGTGGCAAGAAATCTTCTCACAGTTACGTCAGGTTACCTTTCCAAAGAAGGTGTAAAACCGGCTGAGAAAGTCCGTCCATCAACACTAAAGGAGTAAAGGCTAGGATGTTTTTAGGAAGCAACGTGCATTCGAGTTTAACGATTGCAAATAGTGGGCGAGGGTTAGCGTGTCAACAAGATGAACGGAGAAGGTCAGATCGGCTAGTTTACCAGAAGCAAATATCCATAACATCACTCGTGATTTACAAAAGTATTTGAGCCTAGTTGGTTTTCTATACTCTGAGTGACGGCTGAAAGCTAAGCCTAATTTCATGATTTAGCGTTTATTCAAACTATTTTCCGGCAAAGGAGTTGTGCTTTGTATTGAGCGCAAAAACAAATGACGCTAACTCACATTTGAAACAAAGTTGGTCGTGTTTGACAATGGTCGTTTTGCCATTTTGCTTGAATGGCCTAATATCTGAAACCTCGGGGTTTACTAAAATTGATCCTCAGGGGTTATTTGGCACGCTAATTACGAAGATGATATTAACTATGCTTGGTAGGGCTTCCTTATCATTTTGCTATTCGTATACTATGATTGATCATTATCTCAATGATGGATCCTTAGCGGCGATGTACGTGCATACGGTCGTTAAGAGCATTAGTAGAATCAAAGACGTAGGAGATTATGGCCCGTCATAAAGCAAGAGATAAATACTTAGCTTTTTTTACTCGTCATCTCAGGTGCCTTGCCGGGAAACCAAGGTAATAATCCGATTGTTTATCTTGCAATCAGTGATATAAATGTGGATTCCACGGCTGTGCCGAGTGCATACTGGAGTTCATAATCTGTTGCTCGTGTAGGAATAATATTGGTAAGGCAGTGTCGAGCATATGGAAAGTCTAGGCGGATGAAGAGGTGGAAAAAAAGGCGGGTGAGAATGGGTGCTTATATATGATTTATGACCATGGCAGCCGCCAAATTTCATTTGGAGGAGGGAGAACACTAAGTTTTGTTAGTTTAATAAGCGCATTCAAGCCGCCGGTGTCCCAGCTTTCCATTCCAGGCCATGACAAAGAATTACGCGTAATCTGTTGGAAACGCTGCCTACTCAAATAGGTAATGATGGTAGTTTGATTTAGGAATTGTCTATCTTCTGCTCGATTATCCTAAAAAATGAAGTTCTTTGAGGCCTAAGGCATACCTCACGCGATTCGACCGAATCGCCACTTTCACGCGACTTGGCGGTTTGCCACATTTGTACTAATTTATCGTGCGCGCTTCTCGAACGCATATTTGGTATCTTGTAATGTTGTTGCAGTTGTTTCAAACGGATGAAGTTTTGACCAAAGGCAGCGCATTAACGACGAATTACGAAGAGTCGCTCTTGTGCCAAATCGCGCAGCGACCGGAATCGCGTGAGGTATACCTTAGGTTCAAGAAATCACCATCAAAATTTTGATTAGAATATTCGTGTTGATTTGCAATCTTCGGCAACTGTTTGGCTCGATGTATATCAGGTTGTTACAAAATGAGAGCATGTTCCTTATCCTAAAGTGGGAGAGAAAATTCAAAAATGTGTGAAAGATTTAATTGATACAGCAGTGGAAGCTTTGTAGCTGAGCAAATGCAAGAGGCATAATCTATCTGATTTTGAAAAAAATTCTACAAAAGTTTGAAAACCAAAAAATCAAATTCCCCTCCAAAAAGAACTTTCTACTTCGTCAGAGGCAATGCCCCGGCAAAGTCACAGGTACTGAGGTTTCACAGCGTTGCAATAGAAACCCCTTGATATACCTATCACTGAAGTTTGGAAAAATAGCGCATCTGAAAGGCCCGAAATCCGGACTCCCATCCAATTACACGTCATCTCGAGAAAACGCTGACGCGAAGAGCGCTGAAAAAAGCTCATTTTGACCATTTAAGTGCGGTTCATAATTATACGAACACCCAAAACTTTGTAAGTTTTTGGACTTTTTGGGAGAAACTCAAAAAGCCGTTGGTACTACGCGATAGAACACAGCCGAAAACGGTATATGGTTCACAAGAATGGAAATCGATGTCAATCGTAGGAGTATTTTTGCGCCTAATGCGAATTTCTAGCGGTTCATAATTATACGAACACCTCAAACAAAGGTCCATTTTTCATTCAAGATTGCAATCGTTTGAGTCCAAATTTTTTGAAGAGTTACAGTAGCAAAGTCTGACATATCTGATACGCACTAAACCCAATGCACTTCAAAAAGAGGACCGTTACTTTTTGCAGAAGGCTCTAAATGCTTTTGGAGTGATTGGGCTCCAGAAACATCCGTTCTTCTGTTTACGCGCTCTATTTAGCTTCTACCAAAGCTATGAGATAAAATAAGCTCTTGCGATAGGTATTTTGTTTGATGCTTGAAAAATCTTTGCGTTTTCGTGCCGTTTTCCAACCGAGTTCCAACCTTACCACAGAGTTAGCACGACTTCGAGCCTCAAAACTCAGCTTCTGAAGCCGTACAATGAAGTAAGCATATAGTATGTGGAAGTTTACAAGACTTTATATTTGGCCAGAAAAAATCAGCAGCGTTGAGCGCTTGTTTTGATCACGCAGACGTTATTTCACCAGAAATACTGTTTTTACTATTGCAATCACACCTTCATTTGGTTTGTAGCTCTCCACAGCCGCAAGATCAGTTCTAGAAAAAACCCAAACTTGACACAGAGATATCATCATGCAAGCAATGCAGCTGCTTCATATCAAATGTTTGCGCAAGAGAGAAGCTGAGTTTTGAGGCTTGAAATCGTGCTAACTCTGTGGTAAGGTTGGAACTTAGTTGAAAAACGGCACGAAGACGCAAAGATTTTTCAAGCGTCAAACAAAATACCTATCGCAAGAGCTTATTTTATCTCATAGCTTTGGTATAAGCTAATTATAGCGCGTAAACCACAGAAGAACGGATGTTTCTGGAGCCCAATCACTCCAAAAGCATTTAGAGCCTTCTGAAAAAAGTAACGGTCCTCGTTTTGAACTGCACTGGGTTCAGTGTGTAGCAGATATGTCAGACTTTGTTAGTGTAACTCTTCAAAAAATTTGGACGTAAACGATTGCAATCTTGAATGAAAAATGGACCTTTGTTTGAGGTGTTCGTATAATTATGAACCGCTAAAAATTCGCATTAGGCGCAAAAACACTCCTACAATTGACATCGATTTCCATTCTTATGAATCATATACCGTTTTCGGCTGTGTTCTATCGCGTGGTACCAACGGCCATTTAAGTTTCTCCCAAAAAGTCCGAAAACTTACAAAATTTTGGGTGTTCGTATAATTATGAACCGTCCTGTATATGCGCTGAAATGAAGTGATATGGTTTTAATATGACGAAAAGGCTCCGAAAAGATGAAAGACGAAAAACTAAATTCTGCCGAGACACTGTCTTCAAGAATATACTATATATCATAAATTCATATGTATACCTCGTATATTTTTATTGGCTGAAATCTCTATATATAAAGCAGAAGATCTATGTGTCTGCCTGTGTGCACATTTAGCTATAAAGAAAGAGCGATGAAGCTCATTTGGCTGCTGGTCATCAAGGTATGGTAAGGACGGGAGGAAGCGAGACTCCAGAATGGGCGTGGAGCCCGGGATGCCAGCTCGTTGAAAAGTAAAAATAGGCCAAAGGGATTGGTGTCGCCTTGTTCGGTTTTTTCAGGCAACAATTCTCGTATAACGCTCGAAAAAGGCTGAAAATTGTTCAATTCACTCCCAAAGGCTTGTGGTATGAAATCATCCATGTTTTAGACTATCCAACATGGCTGTTGCTAAAGTATGCCAAACTTTATTTCCTCATCTTCTAGCAAGAAATACAGCATGTATACATTAATTTTGGTAAGAGATTGGAGGTTTGTAGAAACATTTTTGAACAGAGAGCTGATTTCTTTTGAATATTCCGGATTTTTCTTCCTAACTTTCCGAATATCTAGCTCTTCAAGAACGATTGAACACCAACTTGCACGGCTTGGTTTTACCCTGTCGAACGGCGTGTTTCATACATTTTCATAGCTTCTCTGCTTTAGGATGAAGAACATGCTTTAGTTTTGCATCAATCCAATATGCTCTGGTGAATCGAATAGCTACAATCGAGCATTGAATCACTTGGGGAGGGTACACATCACTTGTAATGTTTAACTGCAACTATTTTCATCATTTAGTATTTGAATTACAGTGGGTTTTTGAAAAGTGCTACCCGTTCTCTGTAACTTTCTCACAGCAGCTGATTTCTAAGGAGGAAACCACGATAAACATTGCTTACATCATTTGAAAAATCTTTTCTCCTGGGTTTTTACACATAATTGCATTTTCAGAAAACTTAGTTCATTTTTGACTAGGTATTTTGAAGGACAGCAAAACAAACACAAAATTCTCCTTTCTGCTCTATCTACAGATAGAAAGAGGGACCAATCCTCTCAACCCTTCGACAAATTGTGCAAATTTATGCATAAGAAAGTATGCAAGGATGTGCATCATTACTTGAAAAGACTTTCGAAATGTACGAACAAAAGTTGACTACGAAAGCTTCGTCGAAAACTTCCTTTCAATATATAAATTAAAAATTGAAGTCAAACCGTCATTTGTTTGCCATTTCCGACCAAATTGGAAATACCTATACTACGAAAA